TGTTATCAGCGAGTCGTCAACCAGCTTAAATATCCTTGTTACCTGTGAGAAAATCACAAAGCTACACAGAGAATTCACACTTTGCAAAAATACACCCAACTAGTCGCCCTGAACTGTGTTTGTGCTGTCCCTTCTCCTTGGATAACCCGACAAACATGTACTGATCAGTTGTGAATTCCTGGCAAGCATGTAAACGCATAGAAAGCAGAGTCCTGCATAAGAAGTAATATAATAGTACCAAATTAGAACAAATTAATGATATTTTCAACGTTAGATCATGGAAAAGAGAAGTACCCACTGGCCACTCTCCCTACTGCAACTCGCCATTAATCACACAAGTTTTTCACATATTTTGAAGGAAAATGTATATTAGAAGTAGAGGAAATAGGAGAAGAATTGACTTTACCGGCATAGGCAATGGTAACACCTGCCGCTATCCTTCCCAAAACTGATAGCACATAAAGAATAACCACAACCTGGAAAGGTATATATGTAGGATAGTTATAAACGTTACACGAATCCATTTTTCAGTTACTTCAAATTCCTGTTTGAGTTTCTACATTAATTATATCTAGCCTTCTAGCCTTCTGTCGGATTCAACTGAACTCATAACTTTCGATACATATTATAAACTTATGTATAAAAATCCACTAAAATTATTAACAAATACTCATTTTGTTTCAATTTACATGACACATTTACTTATTAGTCCATTCCAAAAAGAATGACATATTTTTATAATTAGAAATAATTCAACTTTAAACTCTTCATTTTACACATTTTAACCTTAGAGCCTGTTTGGAAAACCGCCTTGAAATTGAATTTGGATGTAATTGGGTGTAATTACACAGTTTGGCATGTTTGTTTGGCCAAGTAATTACTTGGTCAGCAAGGAATTGGGTATAATTTGAGAGATGTAATTATACTCTTCAATTTTCAAGGGGGAGGTGAGAATTAGTGGTAATTACATTGTGTAATTACAAGGTTACTTTTTAATTTCTCCCTTTTTGTTTTTATTTTAATTTATTTTCTTTATAACTTTTATTTCCATTATTTTAATTTTTTATTTTATTTTTACTTTCTAATTTCTTTTTTAATTTTAAAATATATTTTCTTTGTACATTATTTATCTTCTTCTTTTTCTCTACATTTACTTCGTGTGATTTCATGTACTTGCTCGTATATTTTATTTCTTATTTGTTTTATTTTCTTCATTTTGCGTAACTGTGTTATTATTCTAGTTTTTGAAACTACACCTCCTACTATAAGAAATAATGAGTCATTAACAAACATGGCATATAATAAGTGATGTCATTAAAGTAATATTTCGTTGTTGAATAATGTTATAAACTTATTATGTTTCCTAATCTTAAGTTGTATTGGAACTTATTTTTTTTATTATACTGGAATTTGACATACGTTAAAGTATTTTTTTGTGGGATTTTGAAATTGTGTTATATTTATAGTTCCAATTTACTTGTTTTAGTAATATTAGCTTGTTATTTCACACATTGCATGTTGTTCATTTTTTAGTTAGAATTGATAGATTAATTTTATCAAACATTTGCATAATGTTATGACATTATATTTATAAATATTAATTTATTTTATCAAACATGCATTCCATGATGTTCTTACAAAATATATGTTTTTAGTTTTTATAATTAATTAAACTAAATATTATTAATTTGAAATATATATATCAATTATTTTTACAATATTAGTTATAAATATATGATTACTAATTAGTGTATATCCAAGAAAACATATGCATCTTAAATACCAAATCTAATAGTATCATCTATACTTATAAAAAATCATTTATATGCATATATTTATTATATTAACTTTTAATCTAAGTGTATAATTACATGACTTGTACAACCAAACATGCTTGTAATTGCACTGTAATTACGTTATGACAAATAAACAGGTCGTCGTAATTACTAGGTTGTGTAATTACTGGGCTGTGTAATTACTACCCTAGTAATTATACCAATTCCAATTACCATGTGGCTTTCCAAAAGAGACCCTTAATAAGAATCTTTTATAATCACACAAATGTCATGATCCTACAAAGTTTTTATCCCTTAGGTTTTAAGATCACAAGTTTCAAATTTTTTTTTTTTTTTTAAACTTCGTGTTAAGTCACACTAAATATAGAGGAAGTATTATATAAACCTATAATTTTAGAAATACAATAGTTTAATCGCAAGAACCTAAAAGCTTAACTCCTAGAATTTAAATCCGGACTGAAGCTGGTTAAACATAACAAGTAGATGAGAAGTATAAATATATAATATCAGAAAGAAAAAAAACAAGCGAAGTAGTGTGGAACCTTAAGGAACAAGCGCTTATCATGGCCAGTAGCAGCAACACGGAGAACAGACTCAGCGGCGCCGATAGTATTAGCGAGGCAGGCGAAGACGCAGTTTGCAGTGTCCTGAGAGATCTGCCACTCTATCGGATCCACAGGAACAGAGATGTTCATCTGACGAAAAAGGAGGCCGAGAATTGCGAGGGAGCAAAGGAGTACAATGAAGACGTCAGAGACGAGAGAGACGATACTGGAATTCCGATAAGCACAGTGGTAGTAAACGAGGCTGCCGCAGATTATTAGTACGAACGGCACCGGAGCCGCCACATCCCTCTTCTTCCTAGGGTTCTCTGTCCTTTCTGTAGTAATCTCCTCGTTAGCGTTCAATTCCATTTCCATGGCGTACGCGCTTATTCTTCGTTAGCCAATACGGACGATTTATTTGAATGGGTCAAATTCCGAACGTTTCTTATTCTAATTCTTACGGTTGCGACTACTTTATTCCAAGTGTTGTATTCAAACAGAACCTTCTTCAGGAAAAAACTGCCAATATACAGATTTATACCCCTACAAAAATATACTACTCGTTTCCATAGAAAGTCGTTAAGAAATCAGGAGCCAATATGTCCGTTCCGTTTTTAACCCCCCTCTGTTTTTCTATTGCCAATACTTTTTTTACCTAGGGGCACTGTTAGTTGGGCCGCTTATTTTATAAAATTTATACCATATCAATTTTTTGATTATTCTATTATGTATAATCAAAATTAAACTTTTCGAAACCGTTGGTTTTTCTTCGGTATCGGAACGGTTCGATTAATTTTCGGTATTTTTTAAATATCATGTAAAATTCACCGGTAGAAGTAAAATGCAATAACATACTTCTTTTATAGGACTTAGCAAAACTCTCTAGACATTTTTACTGTTTAAAGGGTGATGAATTAAAAAAATGAAAGATGGCTAGAGTATAGATCCATCAACTATTCTATAACAACGTAAAAGAAATCAAGCAAAGGCAAAGAAAATATAAGTCACACGAGTGAAAAGATATTAACCAAACTGGGGCTCAAGAATAAAGCATATAGAAGATTAAATATTCAAAAAGATAAATCTAAATTATATGAAAGAAAACATATTCAATACATTGTAGTTTGCTACTCATAATCACTAGAATACTTTGTGTCTTGCTAATGAAGATACTTGAAATAACTTAGTTTAAGTAGAAGTAGCATAATAGGTTTTAAGAATTAGTTACTTTGAGTTTAATTATTTGTTGGCTTGTAACAATTTTCATAATTCCAAGGCCCAAAGAAAAATTTAATGCATTATTATTTTTAAACTTACTATATAAATATATTTTTCACATGTAAAATTTATTCAGTACGGTTTGGTATTTTTTCGGTTTATTTTTATAAATAAAAAATCTACCCTAATCATCAGTGTAGTTATAGATTTATATAAAAACATACGGTTTCTTTAAAAGAAACCTAAAAATCGGTTCGGTCCGGTACGGTTCGATCGGTTTAGTCAGTTTACGAATATCTGTCGATACCCCTACCTATTAGTAGTATTAGTATTATTCTTGTATTTACCTATTCTGTAATTTTTTATATTACATGTTATATCCTTTGCGGCGGCTATCTTATTTGTTTTCCTCAAGTATTTCCAATATACACTCGTCACTATTGTTTTTCTCTCAAACTTGCTTTGTTTTTTCTTTGAGTTAAGGGTCTATCGGAAACATACTCTCTAGCTCATACAAGGTAGGGGGTAAGGTCTGCTTATTATCCTTCTTAGACCTCACTTGTGGAATTACCTCACTTGTGGAATTACACTGAATATTATTGTTGAATACTTGTTTTCTTTTCACAAGATATTAAACTATTTTAGTTACTTGTTGCGGAATTATTATAATTCCATTTTTATACTCCTAAGGCTCCACGAAATGATGTTAAGAGCTTATAATTAGTAGGACTCTTTTTCATTTTCCATTTTTATTTTTTAACCGAGCTAAAAGGAAAAATGATTCTTTTAAGTTTTTTTTTTAGTTTCCATGTGATGAAACAAGTTTTGAAACGATAAAAATTAAAAAATCGTCCCACAATGACCTATATTCATAGATTATCTGATGTTTGCAGAACTGAGAGTCGTAATTGGCATAATCACAAGACTTGCAAGAAACGAACACAAGTATTGGCATTAGAAAAATTAGGAAAGCCCAAAATTGTTAGGTGACACATATTTACCCACGCGAAACCTAACCACTGCAGGTTTTGCCCAGAGATTAACGCAGCCCCTCACCCTCAGCCAACTGATCATCATATGATATATACTGCCCATGGATAGATTTGAAGATTTCCAATATGAATGTAAGCTTATAAAAACATACAAGGACTTACTAAGCATCTTGCTTCTGTAAGTTTTAGAATTTTGGCACAACAGACCAGCAAATGCCAGGTTTCTTTCCTAATTTTGGTTAAAAAGCAACAGCAAAAACTATCATCATACGTTGGGGGAGGGGCGAGGGAGCTACCATATAAAAACTTACATGCGCTTGATATTTACACCAAACTGGTGAATGCAACACAAGTGTCTTTTGTAAAGATGTTTAGCTACCCATGATTAAATTGCTTAGTTTGGTGTAAACACCAAGTGCAAGTAAGCATTTGCAGCTATGTCACTTGTATGAGGCTTATTAAACCACGTGGAATGCATTGCTTAATGTCTGTTCAACTAGAAAACCATCACTAAGCAGTTGATGAAGAATGTCCACCCTATTATACAGCCAATACAGAGGGAAAAAAGAGGACAATGGTTTCTCTAGCAATTCGAGGGTGTTCCTGATCGCCTGCTAACAAGGAAATAAGATAATAGAGGGGTCTCTCTGCAGCTTGCCGCCATTTATATCTAGCTTCTTCATTTTTTCTTCACACCAGAATAGCTGCTCCTTACTAATTCTTTCCATTCTTAGGACCCTATTCATGACTTTAACATCAATTAGACCAAGCAGCAAGTCCACATCCCCTGGCACGGTAGGCCATGATTTCTTCTTCAAGTTTTTCTTTCTCTTCCTTAGTTCCTTCAGTTTCACCTTTTTCTGCATTTGAGAGACTCGGAAGTTATTCAGAAAGAAGATCAACAAAGCAACATCCAATTGTCTCAAAGTAGCCCTTGCTAGCCAAAACAAAGTGAATGAGCAAAACTACATTATAACCAATTAGTGAAAATAGAAAATGGATATCAATTTAACGATATCAGTTCAACATTCAATAGAAAGGAATCAGAGGAAACGTAGGATTATTCCAAGGCAAACTTCTAACGCTGTAAAGAAACTATGGGTTTTTGGCCCGAGACATCCTCCTGTTTTTATTATTTAGAAATCTTTCAGAAAATAACCTTTTACTTTCATATTAATTTATGGTTCAGAAATTCTGTTAGGAGGAAAGCAAGCAAAACTTTCCCCTTGATCTCTTAATAAGAGCTGAACTAAAATGAATACCACAGAGAAGAGTCAAGAAAAGGCTTCTGAAAGAAGAAAAAAATATCACTGATGATATGGACTTTGTTCTTCCTCTTCATCACAATTTGAGAGACGTAATAACATGTCATAGGAATATCCCAGAAACTGCTGCTTCAGTTCCTTGTGCAAAAATTGTAAAGAATCCACAGGAAAGAAAGATGGGAAGAGAGAGAACTAAGTCAAGAATTTTGACTAGACAGATTCGAAGGCAAAACCTCAATTGACTGATGGTGTTACCCATCTTTTCATCTCGTGTGTAAAATGTCAGAAACAAGTTCAAAGCCTTCCCTAAATTTTAAGCAAACACACATATTTTCTATATTTCCTTTATTTTCTGGAGTATTAAAAGGAAATATCTTGAAATTCTTCTAACACAAACACTAACCATATTTCCTTATAAAATGTACAGAGACAAAGGTAAGGTACAGAGCATAGGATGGTCTAACAGAGAATATCAAACCAATGCCTCACCTTTTCAAGAGAACATTGAATCTGATGAAGGGGCGTTGACATCTGGTTCTGGCTTCCGAAAAGATTGCGGACACTGCCAGACTTCTTGTCCATCTTCACAAATAAACGAAAAGTGAGGATTGAGCTTTCAATCACTTTAAGTAGATCTAGAGCAAGAACTGGCAACGCATCATCTTCCAATTTCTGTTGATCAGAACCTAAACATGAGAGATTAGATTAGTTAGCCAGATCAAGAGGAAATCAACTTTACGAACTCCAAACATCAATGTTTAATATGCATTAACCTTCAAATACGACGCAAACTTTTGCAAAATGCATATTTTTAACAAGTCCAAGTATTTTGCACTGAAAGAAAAAACATGTCTTTCATCGTTAGGAAAATCAAATAAAAACATCTAAAGGATATCAGTACTACCTTGGACTTTAGGAACCTGAAGTAGCATTGGCAATGCTTTTCTCGTGCGAGCATAAATTTCAGGCCTCATACCAGGTTCAAAAGGTTCATTTTCAATAAACCGTTGTAACAAGACCAAGAACTGCTGAAATTGTTGAGCGCTGTGATTGTAGGAAATTGCACTCTCAGGTTGGCAAGAGATTTTCTGACTCAATTGCGTGTGTTGACAGTGAAGAACTTCCCAGGTCAAGCACAACTGAGCTACATAAGCGGTTTCAAGATCTTGATAAAGCTCAGCCACAGGCTGGTGCAAGTGCTCAGTTTCATCTTGAGATTCATCCATTTTCTTCAAGGATAGGCACCGAAAGGGGGAGACAAGCTTTTTAGATGCAGATCTTGGAGAAGAGGTAGTTGGAATATGAGAACCTGGAAAATCTTAAACTTTAATAACCTCTAAGAAATTTTGTACTCTTGAAGCTGCAAATTAGCTCTCTTTTAGAGATGTTAGTAGAGGATGAGAAAACTACAATAATTACACTTATTAAAGCGCTGTTGAAGCCAGAGTATGACCATAGACAAATGAGAATTATAATCTACATAAACTAGCATGCAAAGAAACACAAATAACAACCACGTGAGGAAACTTTCCACACAAAAGATCAACTAGAGGGAGAATTAAAATAGAAACGGAGAGTCAAGTGCTCAGTATAAACATCATTACAGTCTGGTTCTTTTAAGGCTCGCCTTTAAAGAATAACTGTCTTAGCTCTGAATGTCTTTAACATGATAATACTCTGTTGTGATTTCACAATATTAAAAAACGTTTTGTTTATTTTGTAATACTATTTAAAATAGTTGCTTCAGAACACTTTTTGAGTTAGGTTTAAGATTAAAAAAAAAAAGGAAATAATCAATTTACTAGTTCTATTGAAAGGAAATGATCTATTGGAAAATTCAAGTGAACTTGTCAATTCAGTCTTCCATTGGAACAGCAAGTAGAGTATTTGGTGGGAATTGTTCATTGAGTGTTCTGTGGAAAATTGTATTTTATAAATGACCCATTCTTTTGCTGTTATGGCAATAAATAGCCACCTTGGTTTGAGTTCTAAAACACAAATATTTCAGCAAGATGGCAGCTTCACACTTGTTTTTCTCCATATCACTATCATATCTCAGTATATAAAAGTCAATGAAGGGTTATTCTAATTTCCTTCTGAAGCTTGTGCAAGTCGAAGAAGTCTATTGTTCAGCACTGTAGCTGAATCTTGGGAGGTTGAACACTGAGGAATCTATGCATGTCTTGGTCCTCTTCCCTGCTACTTAAAAGTGAGCCATCGGTACAAGACAGTAAATTCTATATAATCCATGTACTATAGAAGTTCCAAAGGAATCCATTAGAGGAATGTTCCCCAAATAAAATTGATTATTTTTGCATATCCCTACTTTTTCTCCATATTAACACCGATAATTAGCAAGATTATCCTTTCTTATTGTATTTTTCAATTGACTAGCAAGAATTGTAAATTCATAATTTAAGGAAAATATTTCTTCGATATTATCTAATATTACTCGATTATTTTACAAATTGTAAAGATGGTTCCAGTTTAACATTTGGAGCCACTAGTGCAAATCAAGGCAACCAAATTTAATTTATCGGGAAGGAAAGCAACATATAGTCTGGAACTATTACCAAATTCTCGCAGCTGCTGAGCATGCAGGCGGTCATAAAACAGCATTTGTTCCGAGTATTTATCATAGACAGCATCGAACCCAGACCAAAACTGTCGTCCTTCTGCTTCAACGTCCCTCCAATCACCAGGATTCATGTTAGTCTGTTCTTCTTCATCATCTGCTTCTTCATCTTCTGGGGCTGACTCCTCAGGAATCAATACCATAAAACTGTTTCTCCTCAGTTCCTTCAACCTCCTCTTTACCTCGTTGGTGATGAAGTCATCATCATCGTCTTCTGGTTCCGCATTAGTGGTATCAACATAAGCTGATTTCCCCACATTACCATTCTCATTCATTTGCTCTCCTGGTAGTGGAACAGGCTTATCCTCTGCATCAGTCTCTAGTTCCGGTTTATGGGCCTTTCTGAACTTCTTCACTTTGAAGAAATCCATTATCAAACAAACAACTTCCTTATCAAAGCCTAGGCAATAATTATTCTTCTATTTGTCCCTTTAAATAGATATACAATTATGCGACCTCTAGTTAATCGTTCGCGGTGGCTTCCAACACAACTGTCAGAACTCAATCAGATCCATAATCTAATTTAGGCCCATTTTGAATCTGTGATCCTCAGATTCCACACCATGATTTAGCTTCCGGTGTGAAATGCCCAATAAACTCCCAACAAACATTCAGCGTCTGCACATTTTTGCAATTAGAAAAACTGAAATTAATACTTCAGACTCAAAGAATCTACTTAAAGATATAATTAGTAAATCTAAGAGCGATATTCTGAAAATGCATTCAACTTATAATTCAAATTTTGGGAGAAATCATGAAGAAAAAAAAACTTTTTTTGCTGATTTAAAGAGGGCGATAGAACTTAGAAGGAAAGATTCCAGAGGTCGAAACACATAAAGTAAGATCACTTACAGATTAAGGTGGAGTACACTCAGGAAGCTAAGCCATTCGTAAGTACAGGGGAAACCCTAGAATCGTTGTTAACGAAAAGGAATTTGAGGAGTTAAAAGGGGTTTAGGGTTCAAAAAAAAAGGCAACAAAACAATGGGTTAAGTGAGTGCGGTTTTACTGAGATACATTAGTGTGATTTAAGGAAGCAGAGTGCCAGAAATGTAGTAATGTTTCATCGATATTGTGCAGTTTGTTACACGTTACAATGCCGAGAAAAGGAAAAATATAGAAAAAAGGTGAGAGAAAGGACAAAAAGGCAAAGTATTTGATTCTCCTTTTGGACAAACCAACAGTCCAACAGTTTTTTGTACTAATGCAAAATTAATGAAGTATGATGAAGACGAAATGAAAGAGATTACTTTCTCTCTCTTTGGTCCAAATGGAAGGAGCATTTTGGCGGGGGGGGGGGTTTCACGAGTTACGAGAGAAACAGTGTTCATGGGGTTAAGGGCTTTTCGTACAGAGAAATGAGAATATTGTCAGAATCTCTGACTCGCTTCGCTGCTTACCCAAAAAAGCCGCGAAAATAAGAAAAGTTTTGACTTCCCTTGGCTTCATTTGCGTAATCCGCCAAAAGTTACGAATAATGTTGGTTCAACTACCTTTTCTTCTTCTTTATTATCCAAAATCCCCTACTTAATAATGGTATTGTAAGTAGGTCGTTTGTAGAGGTAGAGTTACAATTTTAATTTTACGGGTTTTGAATTTTAGAACATGATTTCAAGTGTTAATAATTGGATTTAAATTTAATATTTATATATGTTTACTCGAAAAGTCGGATATAGTTAAATTTATAAGTAGTTCTAAGGATATGTGATATAGTTTGACATAAATCGTACGTAGAAGTGGAAATGTTTAGATTCTTGACTATAAAAACGGGATATAAATTATTGAACAAGAAGAGTGAGTATGCTGAGTAAAACAAGCTCAAGATATTTATTCTTCAATAAGAGAAGTAGTTTTTTGTTACAAGGTGTGGACATGCCCTGTGCTTACAAGAATTCCTCTTTTATAGTAGAGGGATCTTACTTTATTTATAATAATAAAAAATATACAGTGGAGAACCCTTGATGAATTGTCTCTTCATCGATTCCCGTCAAGATTCTCTCCCCTAGTGCGGTTGCAACGGCTCTTGTCTGCGAGCTCGATACTGGCTCGAGCTCGGTATTGGGTCGACCCCTCGGCCTTAGTTCGAATTCGACATTCGGGGTAAATGTCAATGGGTCAGTGCATCTCGGACAACCTTGACGTTGTCTTGCGACTCGATTTGGTCATGGGCTCGATAATGATACCGAGTCGATTCCTCGATCGGTCTTGGAGCTCGAAGCTTGTTTGTACTATCTTCAGAACTCGTCTCGAAGTCTCACTTTGGTCGCTTACCATTCGAACTCGATCAAACGTACGAAGGCCGAAATCTATTTCAACCGTATACAGATAGTCCCCTCGTTTCTCAGGAAGAATGTGGTGAGAAGCGATATGATTTCCAACGGCTCGATCAGATTATAAGCTGACGTTTTCACTTGGCTCGATCATGATGTACGTGATAGCTGTCCCGTCGATTTAGTCTTTCAAGTTATTTAATACATGTCAGACGGTGGCCGGCCACCGCTGATACTGAACCGCCACGGTATAAACTTATAAATAACCCTTCCATTTATCATTTACAACTTTTACATCTTCAATCTTCCAAATTTTCTTACTCTTTCTGACTCTTTTTCGTCGCTTGTAGAGCCACCTTCGCTAGCATTTGGCACCATCAACCTTTCATCTTCCTTTGCTTTTCTTTTTCTTATATCAATGGCAAAAACTTCAAAAACCGTACCTCAGAAGGAGAAAGCTTCATCTTCACGGTCGTCCGGCGACAAGGCGCCGGT